CCCCACCGGCCTGGTCGCGTCACGCAGCCTGCTTGTTCAGTCGTTTGGTCATCCCTCACTAACCCTCCTACCAGCCTGGCTGCCCCATGCAGCCTGCTTTTCAGTCATTTGGTTGTCCCTCACTAACCCCCTACTGGCCTGGTCATAGGCAGCCATCTTGTGAGGACATGAGGGGTAATTTGCGTATTACCTCTTTATTATATAGGAGTGTATAGGATGAGACAAGTTAGAGTATACCATTAGAAGGCCCTGAGTTTATACAGCATTTGTAATAAACAGTATCAGATTAAATTCAAGTTTATTACACCTCATCTATTTAGCAACTTTGTCTTAAATAGGAAAAAGATGCCAAAATCAGAAAGAAAAAAAGGGCACCTGAAGGTGTATAACACAACAGATATGAGGTAAGTGCATGTATCTTTCCCTTAACCCACCTGAGGAGTCTCTTAGGCTTGTTTTGGTCCTCTTCACTTGTCATGTATAAAATTCCAATACGCTATTTATTGCAGTTTTAGGTCTATGAGAGATTACTAACAGAAAACCATGAAGGACAAACTAAGTGTAAGAAACAACCTACAGTGATGGTAGCAAAAGTGACCCTGGGCAACAAAGGCCAAATGCTCAGGATGAAGCTGAAAGTAGAACCCAGTAGAGAAGAGCTAAGATTCGTGGGAGAGTGAAAGTTTAGGGACAGACATTTCTCTGCCTCTCTTGGGATTTAATAATCTAAAGAGCATTTAAAAACATAGATTTTGAGTTTGTCTACATATAAGTTCGTATTTCTCTGCATCTTTATCAGACTTTATCATTCTTGTCAATTACTGGGTGTGCAATAGTATCTTTTAATTTGCACTTCTAACACTATTTAAAATGCAGCTTTTCATGTTTATTGGTCATGGGATTATTTTTGTGTGAGATATCTACTCACAAAATTAGACTAATTTTTCAACTTGGTTGTTTATATCATCCCTATTGATTTGTACCAGTTTTATTTTTAGTATTATAAATATTTACCTTTTGCTGGTTTTATGCATTTTAAATATCTTCTCACAGTCTGGGGCTGGTGTTTTCAGTTTGCTTAGGGTTACTAAAGTTTTTGTTGTTATTGTTTCTAAACTTCAAGATAGCCAAATTTATCATTCTTCTCCCTTTATGGTCTGTGCTATTTGGGTCTTGTTTTAGAAACTGTCTCCTACACAAAACTCAAAAAGGCACTCCTGTATTTTTATCCCACAAGTTTTTGCTTTCATATTTAACAAGTCTTCGATCCAGAGCAGTAATTTGTTGTATGGTATAATGTAGGGACTCATTTTAATTTTATTACTCCTAATGGTTAGCCAACTGGCCTGGCATTATTTATTATACAGCACCATCCTTTCCTCACTAATTTGTAATGTCACCTCTGGCACTCTTTAGTCAAGATCTATGTCTGTTTCATGATTTCCAAGACCTGGAAACAACCTTGTATACCCTTTCAGCTTCCCTTCCTTTTTTTTTTTCCCCTCTCTGAAGGAGCTGCCTGTCTTTTGAACTGCTCTGCTCTCATCATTGATGGTATCCTTGCCCAGCCACCGAGCTGGAGTCTAAACTGAAGTTATGGACCTGTGTGGCCTTGGTTCTATATTGAGCTGCTCCTCTACTTCAAGACACGGATGGAATGCCACATGGTGGGATGTGGGGTCTGGCTTCTTGAGAAGGAGCAAAGGGCTAGATAGCACAATCTGGAAATGTGTTAGTCACTTCTCCATGGAGTGAACCTCCACTAGTGGGAAGAGGAAGGAAAGAGGGAGCCAGGGAAATAAATTGCCTCCCAAGGTACTATATCATATTGCATTACAGCTTTTCCCACCTTATTTTTTCCCTTCACCTTATATCGTTGGGCTTAGACTCCCCAAATACTCCCCAAATAAAGTGTCGGCACTTTAATCCTTGTCTTGGGTTCCATTCTCATTAGTCTCCTACCCCTGTGTCAATAACAGACTGATTTAATCACTCTAAGAAATCATAATAACTGGGAAATCACAGTAACTAATCGGAATACCGATGTTACAATAAGTAAAACACAATCACAATCAAAGTTTGTATAGGAACTGTAGGATTCACAAAGAAAGTCTATTTCTAGATCCATCTATGCCAATTGGATGCACTGAGCCCATACTTTTCAATGGAAGTGACCCGACGCAGGACAATGGCAAATTATGTTCCAACAGAGGTGTTCTCACCAGTGTTCTAAAACATTTCTAAGATATGCCTTTGATTGGTTCAAATCTCTTAATTTCTACAAAATTCTCTAGCTTTCCTTTTGATTCTAGGCTGCCAAATATTCTTCCAACAAATGCTGTTT